GCTTAAAAGAGCCTTCAAAATTCAGTGACATATTGAAAAGAATGATTACGGCTATTAACAATAGGGCTTTAGAAGTTATGAATAGTCTGCCACAGCTAAATGAAAATGAAGAAGACTATCTTCTTTCCTTATTATCATGCGTCTGCGAAGTTGGCAGAGCTTGCGAAATACCTGAGGAAGTAGATGACTTCTATAATGAAGAGCAGAAGTTTCTTGTTAACCAATATTGGACTGAGGATCCGATGCAAGTAAAAGAATTGAATTTGAGTATTGTGAAAGCTTTTCTATTGAATTATGCTCCACTTATTAATAACACCACATGCACTGAGAAATGCTGTCTTATATTAAAAGCAGGAATCAGAGAACCTATAGAGGGTCCTTTTAAATTCTCCATGGATACTATTCTTAATTTCATTCTGGCTAAAATTGACAACTGTAATATTGACTCTGTCCCTTATTTATATGGTCTCATAGAAACCATCGTTATTGTGAACCATAAGTTTTTGGATCAAGAAATAGTAGGTCAGTTGGTTAAAAGAGTCTTCACCGATCACATTGATTTTCTTAAATCAGATCCGTATACAATTAGTTCAGCAATTGAATTATTTGCTACAATATTAGAAAGGAACCCATCCTTAATTGTCAGCTTACCTGTATTCGAAAATGTTATTGTTGGGTTTGCGATAGATGGATTAAAGGCTCATGAAACATTTATTATTAAGTCAATCCTGAAGTTCTGGGTTGCATTAATTGCATTGAAAAAAGGCACGAAAGCGAATCAAGATTTCATCAGGAATATGATGGTAAATACAAATTTGGGTACTGTTTTTGTATTCGATTTACTCAAAGCATTTCTAGGAACACCAAGGTCAAACCTAGATCACTATTATCCTATATTTAGAAACCTCATTACTAAATACCCAATTGAGTTAAAGAAATGGTTACAGGTAGCCATTAGAGAATTGAAAAATGGCAAATTGGACGACAAAAACATAGATGCATTAATTAGCAGGATCATGGCAACAAGAGGTCAACGGTCAGCGAACGATATCTTGAAAAAAATTTGGTTGCAATTGAACGGATTAATAGAATTTAATAGTAGGAGTTTTTAAATTATTTATATTTGAGCGTAACTAATAAAACATATACATAGGAATATTAAAAACAAATTTAGATAGGATAAGCCGACTAATGCAACATGGAATCTAATTCTGAACATAAATGTTCACATTCTGCATTAAAGTCAACATCATTGATAGTCATCGCTTGGTATCTTACTCTTACAACACCATTGTAAGAGTCCTGTCTAGCCTTTAACCTAAAGTTGAATTCTTTCATGGTAATCTGGTTGATTAAATCTTGAAATAAATTATTTTCATTGTTAGTTTGTTGTTCCCTCAAAGTTAACAATTCACCGGCTGTTTTTCCAAATAGCTTGTTAGCCTCTTGGTCAAATAAAGTCATCCACAATTGGCCAGAAGAGTCCATAACGGAACAGTTTAAAATATATCTATAATGAGGTTCGTTGAAATTTATATCACATTTTTCACATCTCCAGGTTCCATCAGGTTGCTCAACCACTTTCCTGTTACATGTTGTAGATGGTTGCTGAGAACTAGATTGTAATGAATTGTTACAAGCTGGGTAGCAAAAATTTTCTGTTTTGAAGAAATTGACAGTTGCCTTAATGTTGAAAAAATCTGGTTTTTCACTCATACCTAAGTTTTCTTCTTGAGCTTGTAATATAGACTTTCTATTATTAATTAAATTTTGGTTGGAGCTGTTCTCGTTCTTTAAAGTTTTGAAATTTTCATTTACACCTTGATTATCAAACCATCCCTTTAACTGGTATGCCTCAGCTGTGTCAGGATTCGCCATCATCGAGCCGGCATGGGTCAATGTCAATGATCTTCCAGCAAAATCTTGGATTTTGCAACCCTTGAAAGCAATAACTGAACCTTCACTCGTATCGAAATCAACGGCCGTATTATTCCATAACCCAACTGTGATTGCAAAGTTGGAATCGTCCACAATGGTGATATTTCTTCTATCAAATGGCTTTCCTGTAGATTTAGCAGTAATTTGGAAAACTGGATTTACTTCCTTCAAAACACCTATCACGTCGATGATTGAGTTTGGTTCACAGCTTTCAATTTGGTTTAATTTAGTAAAATTGAAATGAATCTTTGGCACATCAGTGGTATCAAAACATTCTTCCACATTTGTATCTCTATCCAAAGCCAATTCATAAGGATGGCTCAAATGAGAGAATTGTGGTTTGGCTTGTTGGATTCTGGCTTTACTGATATAGTAAACTTTGCCTTCCTCCAATTCCTGGTAGAACTTTTCTGCCAAATCATTGAATGCCGTGGCCCTGATTTCATCGGATTCATCCAAGAAATTGACATTGAATAATTTACCTTCACCACGCGCGTTAGACCACTTTCTAATATCACCTTTGTAAGAAACTCTGGCCTTAATAACCCATTGATTTTGATATGGCGATAATTGTTCAATGGCATTTACGTGCCTTTGTTGGAAAGTGCTTGTCTTTTGAGGTTGTTGTTGTTGCTGTTGTTGAGGTGCTTTGGATTGGTTTAACTCTCCAGATTCTAATTTCTGACTCTTATTAGCCAACTCTAAATAATCGTCATCAGGGTGTTCAGCGTAATATGAATCACATGAAATCAATGTATTTATGGATTTGTTACTTGTTTGAAACTTCACTTCCAAGTCATTAATAATCATAATATGTTTCTGAGTTGTGACCAAGCTGTAATCTTTGATAATTATGACGGATGTTTTCTTAAATCCATTAGCTTCACAATAAGGAATACATTCACTGGTAATCAATCCATGTAATGAATAGGCTCCGTCATTAAGCAAAACCCGGTATTTGACGGCTGAATCACCGTTTCCATTTTCGAGTGATTGATCGATTATTTTAATATTAGTGACCTGAACTGTAATTGGTTTTCCTTCGAATGATTGTCTCTCGGTTTTTGAAAGAATTCCTTTCAAAGCTCCTGACGAAAGTCCATATGCTTCGGCCATTATTCGATTGTTTATTCACTATTATAAGGGTTTGAAAAGAAAAGAAAGAAGAGTATATATGTTTTGTAACGCGCCACCCAAAAAGTTCATATATTGACGCGACCGAAAACATCAACGAGTTTATTTTACTATCGAATGAAAAGCAAGTTTTAATAAATTTGAACGTATGAAAATGTATGTAACGTATATGACAAGACCATATCGTAAAGTTTTTATCTATGTGTAGAAAAATTCATGGAATATTTAGAAAAACTAGCATTTAAAACAAGAAATGCTACATATGAACTGAAATTTAACCAGTAAAGAACGCATGAAATAACCCACTTATAATTTTGGTTGTACCGACACGGCATTGAATAATTCGTCCTTAGAGTTGATCTTGACGGCTCCACTTTTTAATAAGGCCTTAGTTAAATCATTAATCAAATCATCGGAGTTTTCAATACCAATGCACAATCTGATCAAATCTTCAGGGAAATCTCTTTCTTCTCTAGTCTTAGCATCGATAGAAGCGTGTGACATCTTACAAGGCATAGAGATCAACGAGTTGACACAACCGAACGAAACAGCAATTCCAAAGATATCGGTGTTTTCGACAATCTTTTCCGATGTCTTAATGCTACCAGTCTCGAAACTTATGACCGCACCAGCACCTTTGCACATGGATGCATGTAACTCGTATTGAGGATGGCTCTTCAATCCCGGGTACCTGACTCTGAAACCAATACTGGACAAGAATTCGGCGATCTTCTGGCAGTTTTGCTGCTGTCTCTCGACTCTGACAGCGAGAGTTCTCAACCCCCTGCTCAATAACCACGAATCGAAGGGCGATAATCCACACCCAGTGGAGTTTATGACAAAATACACTTTTTCGGCCAATTTCGCATCACGCGTAGCAATGACTCCTGCCATAATATCGTGGTGTCCGTTAAGATACTTGGTAGCAGACTCGTACTGGATATCAACTCCCAAATCAAGAGGAGTCATCAATATTGGCGACATCATGGTGTTATCAAATACAACAACCACGTCGGGGTTCTTTCTATGCGCATAATCAGTAATGGACTTGACATCGCACACCTTGATCAATGGGTTGGTAGGAGACTCAAGAAAAATCATCTTGGTATTATTACTTATCTTAGAAGTAAACAATTCTGTGTTTGTGGTGTCCCAATGTTGCACATTCAAGTCTCCCTTCTTATTCAAATACGTCAATAATCTGTTAGTACCCCCATACAAATCATCTCCTGCCAATACTTCATCGCCCGGTTTTAAAATTCTGGTTATAACATCAAGACATCCCATACCACTTGTAACCGCAAACGCATGGTTAGCTTTCATGATCTTGGCCATATGATTTTGCAAATATGTTCTGGTTGGATTTCCCGACCTAGTATAGTCGTATTCACCCATATCGGATAACGAATTTTGTTTAAACGTCGCGGACTGATACAACGGTGGAACCGATGCATTATGTTGGTCCGTTGACTTTGAAAAGACTAATTCTGTCTCTATATTATACGATTTGGGTGGTGCCATCTCCGTATATCTAATAAAGTGAAAAATTTAATATATTGAATCCCAGGTAAGACTCATACTTTTATCAACTTTCTCGATTAGCGGGTTCACCAGGAATGATGCAATCAGCGTGCGATTACCGAAATGCCGTCAAGAGATCTGCCATAGTTAAGAGATGCTTGGTGCTGATGGTACTGATGATGGGTTCTGCGAGAGAAGCACGGAAGATATAGAGGTGGACCAACGGATATTATGGGGTTCAATATGTGGTCTGAGAAGTTTTTGTTATGAAATAGCCAAATTACGGACTCTAGCAACTCTAAAATATGTATATGTTATTACTATATAAGTACTAAATAGTCATCTAGTTAACTATCTAACTGAATGCATTATCATCAACGATGAACAAAAACGAGCAAACAACGACCCTATAAGTCAGATCTGGTTACTGTACTGACATCGAATGGCTTGTCGCCCAACAAGACCTTTGCACCCGAAAATGGCTCACAGGTGTCTCTGCCGGAGACAGGGCCCGACTTGGGTTCCTTGCCGGCTTGTAATGACTTCAAAAGATCCACCGTCTTTTCTGCGGTCAAATCTTCATGGTAGTCGTCGTTAAGAGCCAACATTGGGGCGTTGACACACGCACCCAAACACTCAACTTCCTGTAAAGTGAATAACATGTCTGGGGTGGTCTGGCCTGGCTTAATCTTCAAGTGCGACGTGATGGCATCCATGACTTCGTCAGAACCACATAATTGACATGGGGTAGTGGTACACACCTGGATGTTGTATTTACCCATTGGTTTTCTGTTGTACATGGTGTAGAAAGTTGCAACTTCGTACACTCTCATTGGTGGCATGTCCAAGTACTTGGCGACGTAGTTCATCACCGCAATCGATGTGAACCCGGATTGACGCTGTCCTAAGTCCAATAATGGCATAACAGCCGCCTTTTTATATTGAGGTGGGTATTTGGCAATAACTTCATTGGCCCTTTTGATATTTTCGGAGTTGAACTCAAAACTCATATTTTTGTTGTCATCCTTGGTATCTCTGTGGACTGCAATGATAGACGAGAACCTCTTATTGACCACCGATCTGTGTGTGCTTCTTTGGACACTTCTTGGAATAAAACGAAACATCATGCAATTAATATTATTTCCGTATTCCTGAGATGAAAAATGTAGGTTTATTTAGGACAATTAACTACCGATATCTACTTTTCAATTGAAATATAATAAATATCTTGAGTATATTATTTTTAGTCCGCTATTATTATAAATCCTAACAAAGTTACTGACCAACTCTTTACAAACTGTTTATGAAGTTTTATAAACTAATGAGCTCTATTGTACTTTTTCACAGAGCGTAAACCTGATTTAAACGACAGTGATTGGCTTACCGAGACCCACTCGATTTTGCGTGGTTCTCGCACGTCGCACCAAAAAAAAGTTAATACTGGGACCAATGGATGCAAAATGTCGAGTAATACAGGAATTGGATGGGTTATAAGGGGTATATATTGTCTATCTACGACAGTTTTTGGTGGAGGACGATCTATGGATTGTGGTTTCGTCGGAAGTTTGGTACATGGTTTTGTATACGTCGTTGTAATTGGGTGCCGTGGTGGTCTCGACTGGAAAGTGTGTGTTAGACACTCGTTTGATGGATTTGGAGGCTGGTGGTTCATATAGGGCCATGAATACTTGGTTGGCTTGGAGATCAAATACTGTGTATATGTACTTGAAAATGCTGTTGGGAAGGGTAGCCACATAGGAATTTGTGCCGATATCGACGATACCGAGCCTGAGAGTGCAGTATTGGGCCCCACGGATGGCAGTGCACTCGTCGATCAAGTCGGTAAGGGGGATCGTGACAGGGAAGCCGGTGATGTCGAAAGTGAGAAATTCGGCGGCGAGTCCGTCTTGGTGGAACAACGGGGTATCGTCGTGCCACTGTTTTTTGGCATGGATTGCTGTGATTAAATTTGTATACACGGGTTCGGGGATCATGAGACCATTGGACCCGGTGTCGAGGGTATAAATGAGTTTTTGAGTCGAAATCGATGTTCTAGTGTTGTGGGTTGCGATTTTGATGGACGAGACTGTCACGGCCGTGACGGTGTGGTACTCACGAGTGGCCAGTGGTCCCACTTCGAACCCGATCTGCGTCTTGACCAATGGACCTTTGTAGGCCCCAGAATCAATACCCCCAAAGACGATGGAGCTGTGGCCTGTTCTTCCGGACACGCTGTATACCTGGTAGTCGACGAGACCCTGCGACTCGAGCTTCATCGGAAAGTTCTCGTACGGATCCATAGCTTCGATGGTGGCATATCCTATTCCAAAAACCCCGTAGAACGAATCAATATCCGACACGTTGGTAACTCCTAATGTAGCCCCCTTTAAATTCCATCCATTGCCGGAAATAGTTTCATTTTGCTGGAACATCTCAAACGGTTCGGATGACCCGTACTGTGCGACATATTCTGGAGTGAAGAGCGACTTCTCATACTGGTACGTTGACCCCGTTAGCACCACATCGGCCGAACCAGTATCCAATATTACATTCTTCAACTCCTGTTTGCGTTTCCCGACCCTGAGCGACTCAACGTAGTACATGGAGTCCGACGACCGCTTCAAAGGAATTTCAATGTATCCTCGAGAGGCTGCGAAAACCTGGCCATAAATGCCTAAAGCTACCAATAAATACACTAATTGCATATCGTATACATTAGTTGATGATTCCCATACTTCTACTACTCTACCAACCTCTTTTATACATCTCTACTCAGGGTTGGTGGTGGAACAGGTTTCATTGGTATTACTGGATCAGTACATGGCAATAAACACCCACGTCTGGCTATATACAGGGGTTCCACTTTCAAAACGTCTGAAGCGTCATTCTATACCCCTTCCTCTCTCCGAAGTTGCCCAAAACAATAGCCCATCCTTTGTCATACAACCTAGTTTCATTCTGCTCTTTCATTTGGGCAGTCGAAAGAAACAGTTCATTAAGGTACTTGAACTCAGCTGTAGTGTCAAAAGTCGCAATCATTTCTCTTTACCAACATGCCATTAAACCCTTGATTTTTATCCCAGACTCTAACCACCACTCTCCCAGACCCACTGACATCCATCTCCAGTAATACCCATCTCAAGACACGAACCAACATCCCTTCTTATACTACAACATCCGTTACAATTAATGTGTAATCACGTGGCTTGTCCCTTTGCTCACCAAACCGCTCTTCATAGTCAACCACCACAAATTAGTTACTATATGGACTACTAGGGTAAGTTATCGATTTAGGTAAATCAAATACAGAAAGCATAGTACCAGACTCGGAATCACGACGGTGTTAATCCAGATATATATTTTAATCCATTTCCTCGAATTTCGCACACATTTATAACCAAAAACACCTTCTTATCAATAGGAGCGTCTTCCAACCTTTCACGATTGGATTATGAATAATAGCAAAAACAATACTGATAGTGGTAGGAGCATTATAAATAATGGTAATACATCGAGAAGAAGCACTCTAGAGACGCCGAGATCGCCGTCTAGGTCTACTCGGAATTTGGAACCGCCCAACTTGAACGACGGGGGTGCATTACCATCGACATCACCAAGGCGAAGAAACCAAAAGTCGATATTCAGCGATCGATACATCCCTAATCGTACGGGTATTGATTTGCAGGCAGCATTCAGTTTGTCAAACCAGGAAATTTTGCCCGAGATCAAGAATAGACACGATAGAGTAGACAATGAGATTGAAATAAGAAAAGAGGAAGAGGCAAACCAGACGTTTTCGACAATATTGAAGGCCGAACTATTTGGTGATAATGTGCCCATGGCTACAGCCAATTTGAGCAAAAATGCAAAGGTGTCGAATAGCAGGCCCAATAGCACGGGTAATCTCAATTCCACAGCATCCTCATCTTCGCTACATTCGATTAGATCTTCCGGAATTGCTGATAATGCCAGCACTGGTGGTGATGAAGGTACTACAGGTAATACCAGAATCACGCCACCACGTTCTACAAGAAATAATGCCAGCAACAACTCGCTTACTTCTGGCTCGGTAAATACTACGACAAACCATGATTCCAACAGCATCACGAACACCCCTAGACAAACGGCGAACTTGTTTACATACCAATCCCCAAAAAAGAATAGACCGGTATCGAGAGACCTACAGAACGAGCTTTACTCGTTATCTCCTGTAAGACAAGAGTCACAAAAACTTTTGCTATCACCACAGAAAAAACCCAGAAACATATCAAAAGTTCCCTATAGAGTGCTTGATGCACCAGAATTATCGGATGACTTCTACCTCAATCTCGTTGACTGGGGTCAGCAAGACATTTTGGCCGTTGGGCTTGGTGACAGTGTGTATCTCTGGGATGGAAGCACGCAATCGGTCGACAGATTGTGTAATTTATCGAACAAAGATAAGGTTACTAGCATAAACTGGATTGGCTCTGGAACCCATTTGGCAGTAGGGACACTGAAGGGTTTGGTCGAAATCTGGGACGCTACAAAAATAAAGTGTGTCAGAACAATGTCGGGCCACAGTTTGCGAGTAAGCTCATTGGCATGGAACGAACACATTCTCTCGAGTGGATCGAGAGATCGAAGCATCCTTAATAGAGACGTCAGAATCGAGAGCCACTACGTCAACAAGTTCGAAGCTCACAAACAAGAGGTCTGCGGCTTGAAGTGGAATGTCGAAGAAAACAAGTTGGCCAGCGGTGGTAACGACAACAAACTATTCATTTGGGACGCATTGAACACTAAGCCATTATATCAGTTCACCGACCACACCGCTGCCGTCAAGGCAATCTCTTGGTCTCCTCACCAAAGAGGTGTCCTAGCATCCGGCGGGGGAACCGCCGACAAAACCATCAAAACCTGGAACACCCTTACTGGTTCGTTGACAAATAATGTCAACACCGGATCGCAAGTCTGCAACCTAATCTGGTCCAAAAATTCAAACGAATTAGTCTCCACCCATGGCTTCTCCAGAAATCAAATTATTGTCTGGAAATATCCCTCCATGCAGCAAATAGCTCAATTAACCGGCCATACATACAGAGTATTGTACTTGTCATTATCTCCAGATGGGGAAACGATTGTTACCGGTGCTGGAGATGAGACCTTAAGGTTTTGGAACGTTTTTGACAAGAATAAGAATGATGAGCCACCCTCATCTGTCTTATTGGATGCATTTCTGCAACTCCGCTAGCCTGTATATTATATGTATACTTAATAATGCTTAATAAACTTCTGAATGGCATAATCCCCCCATTTAACTTTATTTTGGAGCCATTATCTCCTTGTTATGTACTATGATAGGCGTTTTGACAATGCCGTCAAAGCTCTAACCTGTAATTTTTCTCGAGATTTTTACTTTTGCAGGTTATCTATATATTACTCATTATCTATATAAGAACGCATATACTACTATATTTTATAACTAGTAACAAGCATATTGACATCGCTAAATAAAGAAATGTCTAAACCAGAAGCTAAGGATTTGAGCCACTTGTTGAGTGAAGAAGCTAAGTCGAGAAAAAATTCTCCATTGAAGGCTGCTTTCAAGTATTACAAACAACCAGGAATGACGTTCTTGGGCGGTGGATTACCATTATCGGACTGTTTTCCGTTCAACAAAGTGACAGCGGACATCCCATCGGTACCATTTTCTGAAGGTATTTCGGCCCCGCTCTCTGATGAAGATAAAACTGTAGTAGAAGTATACAAGAGAGCCGAAATGAATAAAGACGACAAGCAGATCGAGTTATCCAGATCATTGCAATATGGACACACCGAAGGTCAAACCGAGATTATTGATTTCTTGAAGGAACACACGGAAAAGATCCACAATGTTCCATATAAGGATTGGGATCTTATAGCATCTGTTGGTAACACGCAATCGTGGGATGCAACGTTGAGATCGTTTGTGACCAGAGGCGATTCTATCTTGGTTGAAGAATATTCGTTCAGTTCGGCTTTGGAAACTGCCCACGCACAAGGTGTTAATACCATTCCAGTCCCAATGGACGCGAAGGGAATTCTTCCCGAAGCATTGGAAAAGCAATTAGACCAATGGGTTGGACCAAAGCCAAAGTTGTTATATACCATTTGTACTGGTCAAAACCCAACCGGGTCTTGTCTTTCCGCTGAAAGAAGAAAGGCTATCTATAAATTGGCATGCAAGCACGATTTCATCATTATTGAGGACGAGCCTTACTACTTCTTGCAAATGGAAGATTATACCACCGACGAAAAGTCAAGGGCTAACAACAAGGTCGACAGCCATGAAGAATTCGTCAAGGCATTAGTTCCATCCTACATCTCTATGGATGTCGAAGGACGAGTTATCAGGTTAGACTCATTTTCTAAGGTTTTGGCTCCTGGTTTGAGATTCGGTTGGATTGTCGGACAAGCCAAATTACTTGAGAGATATGTCAGAATCCATGAAGTTTCTATCCAGTGTCCATCTGGTTTCACTCAATCCCTCTGTAATTCCTTGTTGCAAAAATGGGGTCAAAAGGGTTACTTAGATTGGTTAATTGGCTTACGTGCCGAATACACCCACAAGAGAGATGTCGCTATCGATGCAGTTAACAATTACTTCCCTAAGGAAGTTGTATCCTTTATCCCACCAGTGGCAGGTATGTTTTTCACCACTACCATCGACGCTTCCAAGCACCCGAAATTCAAGTCCGAGTTTAGCGAGGACCCACTCCAGGTTGAAAATGCCGTCTATGAGCAAGCTTTGAAACAAGGTTGTTTGATGATCCCAGGTTCTTGGTTCAAGGCCGAAGGTAAATCAAATCCTCCACAACCTGAATTACCAGAAAGCCCTGCTAGCAAAAACACCTTCTTCTTTAGAGGTACATATGCTGCCGTTCCATTAGATCAATTAGTCATAGGACTAGAAAAATTCGGTAAAGCAATTAAGATTGAATACGGTCTCTAAGGTTACTAGGTATCTATATAGGTTACTCTAATTTGGTATTTAATCTCTAGAATATAAATTATTAAAAACCAGTATTGTGTGCGCGTATCAACATAGTTAGTCTTGATCTATCAAACAACTAAAAGCGTATCAAGCATATCTAATATTCCTACAGTAGCGTGGTTATACAAATGCATATCCTTAAACTTCCCTGGTTCGGACATAAAGGTAAGTACTATAGAAATTGATACTCTATGAAGTTACAATAATAATACTAACATGCTCTAGCTGAGAATAAACAAATTGAATGTTACTCAGTGAGTATAAACTCAAATGGATCGAGATTAGCATCAGGAGGATTAGATGGAAACGTTAAAATATGGGATACTAAATCAATTCTTTATTTTAAAAACTATGAAGCTGAACCTGAAACGAAGAATAATAAAAATGGTATAAATCTTGACACATTAAATTCAGACATAATACGAAGACCATTATGTTCAATGAGTCGCCATAACGGGGTCGTTACAAGTGTCAAATTTTCGCCTGATGGCAGGTTCTTAGCCTCGGGGTCAGATGATAAGATTGTATTAATTTGGGAGAAGGATGAAGAACAAGCAAATCGTCCAAAACAATTTGGTGAAGCAGAAGCCGACTTGGAGCATTGGACTGTCAGAAAGAGGTTAGTCGCCCATGATAATGATATTCAAGATATATGCTGGTCCCCTGATGGATCCTTATTGGTTACAGTAGGTTTAGATCGACTGATCATAATCTGGAATGGTTTAACATTTGAAAGAATCAAGAGATACGATATTCATCAATCGATGGTCAAGGGTATAGTGTTCGACCCAGCAAACAAATTTTTTGCTACTGCATCAGATGATAGATCAGTTAGAATATTCAGATATTATAGGAAGTTGAGTGAACTGTCAATTAATAATTATGAATTCCAAATGGAGCACATTGTTATAGATCCTTTCAAGAAATCACCCTTGACTTCATATTTCCGGAGAATGTCATGGTCTCCAGATGGTCAGCATATTGCTGTGCCGAATGCGACTAACGGTCCTGTAACCTCGGTCGCTATAATCAATAGAACTAACTGGGGCACAGATATTTCATTAATAGGGCACGAGGCACCCTGTGAAGTGTGTTGTTTTTCGCCTAGGTTATTTGAATATGATGACGGCAATGATTCACAGAAAAAGAATCAGAATGGAATGGGAAACTTTACTACTATATTGGCAACTGCTGGACAAGACCAAAATCTTGTAGTTTGGACTACGAGACAAAGTAAACCTTTAGTAGTGGCTCATGATATAGTTTCTGGGTCTATTACAGATATGTGTTGGGCTCCAGATGGTCAAACATTGTATTTCAGCTGCTTGGATGGATCAATCACCTGTGTTTCGTTCGAGAATAATGAATTAGGAAAAGTTGTTAGTGAAAATATGAATGATTTACAATTACATAGATACGGTGCTGACAGAGAGTCTGCTACATTCCCGGAAAGTGTTGAACAATTGCTTTTGGAAGAAAAATCTGAAGCTACGGAGCATAAGGAAAATAAGAAATTAGCTATTACAAAACCTCCGACAACCATTTTGAAGTCACGACCAGAAGAAGTGAGGCCCAAAGAAGTGAGCCCAAAAATTAACAACTTGACTCCAAAGCAAGTAAACAAATTGACTCAGAGTATAACAATAACAAAAAATGGGAAGAAAAGAGTAGCGCCATTATTAGTATCTTCGTCGTCCAAAAGTTCGGTTCCAGTTTTAGGTACGAGTGGAAAGGTAACCAAGAAATTCCAAATCGGATCGAAATTATCTCAAACATCGTATTTCTTACCCAGATTAGGGGTTCTGACATCGGTGCAAGGATTTAAACTGAAGAATTTAGTGCATGAATTTAATCAATCTAATGAAGTCAATAATGACGATCAAGATAATGATAATGAAGACATGGGTATTGATTCAGCGAAAGTCAATGATAATACTAAAGACTCTTTGAACCAAAGTAGTGTTTCAGAAGCTACTTTGAGGAGACAGAGAAATAAAATAAAACGTGCAATTTTAGAAACAAGATATCCAAGTTGTTTCCAATTAATATCAACTTTACCAGACAATTTATTTAATAATCAAGCGATATTGAATTGTAAAGTAAACCAAATATTAAACAATAATTTCAACAGTACAAGGGAGAATAATAACGAAATTATAAGTGGTAGCTCAATTGATGCAATTGATGAGGATTTAATATTCTCCGTTATTGTCACCGGAATTCAATCAATCGAAGATCCTAGTAGTATAATCATTAACGAAGCACATGATACCAATACCTCGATCACATCCATTGTGGAGGTCCGTAATGGACCATCTTGGAAAGTAAATGAAGATGACATAACAGACTTCGAATATGGCGATAGAATAGACTTTCAAGATCCAACAAGGGTAATTGTTTCTAATGATAAGAATCATTCAAAGAGAAGCTACACACTATTCTTCCCTTATAAGGTACAGCATGTACTCCCTATAATCAAGAATAAAATACTCACTTTCTATGTATTGGCTTCATTCAACGGGACAATACAAATAATTCTGGCTAAGTCTGGAAAATATGTCGCAGCTGGCATGGAAATAGGAAATAATATCATATTATTGAAGCAAGGCGGCGATTATCTCATGTGCGTCACGAATCAAGGTTTAATATACGTTTGGAAATTGCCTAATTTGACGGCAGAGAGGTTCCTTACAGGTGTGGTTAGAGGGATATCGATGGCGCCTATTTTAAATAATATGGTGGAGGTTCCAAGCATAGAGAAGAAAAATTTAAACAAACGGCATGCAAATATACCTCAATTGATGATGCCTAATGTCAGAAAACTTGACGTTGATCCTCGAAACGGGTCGCCATTGGCTATATTAGAAGACAACAACGAAGTATATAAATTCTCGTTAGACCTAATGGTTTGGATAAAAGTAGTGGATCCGTGGTATTTCCTCGCACTAACTGATTCATCGGTCGACTCTTATAAAACTGGAAACTGCTTTGATTTATTGTTGCATAAAAGTTACAAGTCTTTTGAGGAAGATGTCAAACGGTCCAAGATCGGATTATATATATTTAATAATTCAGAAGAAACTAATGAGCTACAGAAAGTTATGAAGGCAAGATTCAAGCAAAGCATGGAACTTGCGGGTCAAATAGCATAATTTATATATATTTCAACAATGTACAATACCATGGTCTTTCTAACCAACTAATTTGCAGCTGGCGTTCCCGATTCCTTCTCTCTATTAATTGACGTTTTCTCGTTGGCCATTTCTTTCGATGGAAATGGTACCTCCTTCTCGAACGGGAATTTAAACAAAAAAATAACAGAAGAAACGACGTTGTTAACAGCACTCATCCATATGGTTAAGCCCACACCACCAGTGGTAATAAATGGCAAGGCCAAAAACCATTCAAAGTAATGTGGTAACACTCCGGTAGGAAAGTAAAACAAAACGGCCTTTCTGAACCACACCCTAAAAAACCAAATAGGCAATGTCGTAGTGGCAAGTATCATATATCCAACGTACTTGTTAATGTAGCTTCTGGATGCAGACGTTTCTTCTTTCAACTTATTGATCTCCCCTGTAAGCTTGTCAAACTGACGGTTCAATTTGGTCCATCTGGCATATTGATCCTGAGCACTTATTGACTTCTTCTCCTTGGATACCTTCGCCAACTCACCATTCTTCTGGTCTAACTCGATAAACTTAGAGTCTCCTAACTTTGGTGCAACCTTACAGTATGCTAACCATCCTATATTCTCCAACGTAGCTTTACCAATTGCATTAATCAATTGTTTGGCGAAAAGAACTACCAATACGCTAATTAACAAATTCGAAGAACTTATATCAAACATCTTACTCCGTCAATTGCAATTTTTCACTCGATATACTCCTTCTAGTGTTCTAATGGACTAGTTGGACTTGAATTCGTTCTTGATAGTACTGGGCCAAACAGAACAGTGAAAATTACACAAAAGGTGTTTTGAGAATTTGGTGAAACAAAACACTTTTGCTCAATCAAACGATTAGCAGATGAGGTAAAAAGAGCAGCTCAGATCTTGTTCATATAAGAAATAACATCAACGATGTCTAGCGATCCAGAAGAAGATTACATTCCATGGATACAACAATTTTGTGAATTATTTGGACATGATTACTTTGTGCCAGTATCCCAAGACTTTATTGAAGATGATTTTAATTTAACAGGATTATCCCTGCAAGTCCCATATTATAGAGAAGCATTATACACGATATTAGACTACCAAGTGGAGACTGCTGACGATAATGGGAGTGGGAATGGAACGTCGAATACCAAAGGCTCGAAAAATGAGTTACCCAACAAGGCATTACTAGCACATTCAGCAGAATTATTATACGGATTAATTCACGCCCGTTATATAATCTCCAAGCCGGGGTTGACAGCAATGGCTAGCAAATTTGAACGTAACGAGTTTGGCTCGTGCCCCAGATACTATTGTGATGGAATGCATTTGATACCGGTTGGATCTACAGACATACCGGGACAAGAGACCGTGAGATTGTATTGTCCATGCTGCAATGATATTTATCTTCCCCTGAGTTCAAGATATCTCAATATTGACGGGGCGTTCTTTGGAACTACATTTCCAGGGTTGTTGGTCAAGATGTTCCCTGAGATTGAAAACCAATGTAGAAATAGAGTGTACAAAGTTAACCAGAATGATTTTGGGCTTCGTTTATTTGGATTCCAGATCAGCGAGCTAAGCGCCAGTGGGCCAAGAATGAAATGGCTCAGATTGCATCCCCGTACGTCTCAGGAGAAAGAGGAATTCAACAACTGTGAATTAAGCGTACCAAGCGAATTCGATGAGTCAGATGTCCCTTTCAACTCTGACAGTGAAATGGGCGACCCAGAAGATAACGATGATGATGACAAAACTATGGCTAGTGAAGGGAATTAATCCATTTATTTCTGTTTGTAATCTACTTTTCCTTATACTTATGTAACATACGATCCATATATTAATATAAAATATTTCATATAAAATTCTTTCAGTGTCGTCTAATTGTTAGTATACGAGTAAAAAATTACTATACACGATTGTGCTTTTGTCAATGCCATTAATGAGTAATGTTGACTGGTTTACCTGGCTCCCAATCTTTGATACCTTTCTGGATGTTAATCCAGTACTTCAATCTGACTGCTTCCATCATAATGCCATCCCAATTAAGTGGTTTTATCTCTAACAACTTCTCGATTGCCTCTTCACTCTCAGCGATTCTTTCGTCGTTTTCTTCACTCAACGCTTCCAAGTCCTGTTCTTGGGTCGCTAACTCCAACGACTCGTGCGCCTCTAAAACCATCATGAGCATATTTTTATACTCCATGGACCTCTCATCGGACGAAGATTGAAAATCTGAGATCAATTTCTTCGATATATCATCCTGTGTGATATCTAAGTGATCCGGGTGGTTTACCTCTATCAAATGGGCTACTCTAGAGTATGGATTACTGATGGTCGAGTAGGCCTTGTTCAACAAAGACGAAAATTTATCGTCCACTTCATTATCAGTCAGTTTCGATAATGCTGCAGAACCAATTACTATATCTGGATGATGCTCACTCTGTAATGTTCTATATTCTCGACGGAGTCGTCTTGGATTGATCATAAACGATTCGTTTGGGGGTCCATGATCCGGAAACGTCTGCGGAAATAAATCAAAATACGACTTAATTGTCGTAGCATTCGAATAAAACCGTGAATACACTAGTCCTGTTCCCACCCTAGGAACATATCCACATGCTTTCCGTAACATATTAAACGACTTATTGTTCTGTTGTCTTATAGCATAGTATATTTCATTCTAAAAGCAAGGTTTGACTAATTATGTCCGGTACTGTACATAAGTCGTTCATATTTTATCTAAGAGATATAGTACTATCTATTACAAATAAGAGCTTTTGCACCAATAAACGGGCCATGTTCAAGAAAAGAGTTATCAAAAAGAGGGAATATGGAGGAGTGGCAATTCCAAAGCGAAAATTGGATGTTGATGAATTCGAATCAGATTCCGATGATGTCCTAGAGAAGGAAACGAAGAGCTCATCTCTAGGTATCAAGAAGCGTAAGCCAATGAATGGCAACAAAAAGCCCACGCGAGATGTGGAACACGGCCAGAACTCAAGCACAGAAAATACTTTATCAAACCCATCTTTGGATCAGGCCACCACCGACAAATCTGCTGGCGAAAAATCGGTGGGACCAATAAAACCACCACCCATCAGCATTAAGACCACCACTATTACAGATTTTCAGCCAGATATATGTAAGGATTTTCTACAGACAGGTTACTGTGGGTATGGAGATACATGTAAGTTTTTACACATAAGAGACGAACTGAAGCAGCGCAAGCCCATCGAAAAAGAGTGGGAAACGGTAACTGAGCATCAGAAACCTGATAAATCCAAAGAACAAGTACCGTACCGATGTGTGATTTGCTCAAAAGACTATACTCTGCCTGTTAAGACAGAATGCAACCATTTATTCTGCCAAAAGTGTTTCATGAATAGATACAGAAATTTAAAAAAACCTAATTGCTTCATATGTGGAAAAGATACCGGAGGAGTATGTTCTCCAGTCCTGAAGAAAGAGTTGGAGAAGCTTATTTCATAATGTATATAGTGTATTTAGTCATAACCGTAACAAGTAGAATAGGATCGGTATTTGTTAGTAGACTATATTCCGGCTGTTCAATATGCTCGATTTTGCGATCACCATACGAAGCGACCCTGAAATATTACATGCTATTCTTCATATCGCCAAATTGCAATCGAACAGTTAACAAATATGTCTAACTTTCAAGATCAGCTAGAGGGATTGCCCGGCTATGACATCGTCATGGATTATTGGAACGATTATGCGGAAGAACATATAAAAGTAGGCAAAAATCCATACGAGGACGAGAACGGAAATAAGCTTCGATTACCAAAAAACACCACTAAAGAAGAACAGAAGGTCTGGAAAAGGGTTCAAAGTACGGCGTGGGTTCACGATAAGTGTTTCCTTGGATCTTGTGGGGTTGGGATGGATTGTGGTTTGGGATCGGTGCCATTGGTGGTCGCCTTATTTCCAGTGCTAGGACCACTTGTGATGTATGGAATGCATGCCAGGCTTATTCACATTGTCACCAATGAATACAAGCTCCCTAATAAGCTAGTACTACAAATGGAGTCCCAAATTGCATTCGACCTACTTATAAGCCTACCACCAATCATAGGTGGTTTTTTGGCTTGGTTAAATGGGTGTCTGACTAGAAATGCTGGCATGATATACAACTACTTCGCCTACGTATCCCTGGAAAGGGAAAAGAATAAGCAACCTACCTACGTTGGAACTGGGGACATTAGTGAACACTTACGATCGCCAGAACCGGCGTATACCAATACTGCCAGACAGAATAATTATCAATCTGCAAATAACGGTGGTATGAGCAAATCTGTATTTAAAAAGAAGCCACCTGCCAATAATAATAATACAATAAAGGTTGGAGATCAACAGCAATCTGGATTTGTATAGAAATGTAATCTTATAAGACTCGCGATAAATTCCAGTACGGATTATTTCACTATTTATATTCAATAAAAGTTCAAACTTGAATAAAATGTTCGAAAGACCTGAAGGAATTGAAAACTGTAGAATATGGATGGATGGGTGTTTTGACTTTGTTCATCACGGTATGTTATTTTAAATTCTTTTATTCAACTAAGAAAACATCACTAACTGAAAATAAGGCCACGCAGGTGCCATGCTACAAGCACGTCAATTGGGTAAGGAACTTTACGTAGGGGTCCATTCAGACGAGGACATCTTGAAGAATAAGGGTCCTGTTGTTATGACATTAAAGGAGAGAGTAAAGGCCGTGGAAGCGTGTAAATGGTCCACGCAGCCAGTTCCTAATGCTCCATATGTTACTGACCCCAAAGTTATGGATGAATATGGATGCAAGTATGTCGTACATGGAGATGACATTACAACTGATGCTAATGGCGAGGATTGTTATCAAGAAGTTAAAGATTTGGGTAAATTTGTTGTTGTTAAGAGAACACCTAACATTCTGACCACAGACTTAGTGGGAAGAATGTTATTGATGAGCAAGGACCATCATTACCAGCCAATTCGCAATATAGGCAATCATTCCTTGCTTGATAAAAAGGACAAATTGGACAAGTTTGCGAAATATGCTACAGACGAAACAGGTTTAAAGCCAGGATCAGGAGTTTATCTTAATATAGACACCGATAAAGAATTGCACACGTTAGTTGAGCCATCAAAGGGAACTTTAAAAAAGTACACGTCAATTGCCTACGTTGACGGAGGATTCGACTTGTTCCACCCTGGACATATCGAAGCCTTGAGACTTGTTAAGCAAAATGCCCTCAGGGATGGTTGTGCCGTCATTGTTGGTGTACATGACGATCACACAATCAACGAAGTCAAGGGACTCAACTACCCAATTATGAACATCTTTGAAAGGGCCTTGTGTATATTACAATGTGCTTATGTCGACGGGATTGTCTTGGGAGCTCCTTTTTCTGCAACGTCCCAATTCTTGTCCAAGTTGCCTGGAACCGTAGCTGCGGTGTACCACGGTCCAACCCAAGTAGAAGAAGAGCCATATGCAGAAGCTAAACAAAATGGACTCTTCAAGGAAATTGGACCCCACGAATTCGCCAATATCAATACAGAATTCATTGTCCATAGAGTGTTGAATAACAAAGAGGCCTACGAAGCCAGGCAAAAGGCAAAGGGATGGAAGGCCGATCATGAAGCGCAACTCAGACTACAAGAGCAATCGCGTCATAAATCGTCGTAAATCATTTATATTTATTTATGTAATTTTTACTTACCATAAACATTTTCATAAATCGTATCTCGTTACCGATGCTCTATCACTAAGCAGGGCACTGTTATACCTATTCTGATATATGTCTACATGGTAAACATAGAATGGTCTAACTGTTCGTTAAGCATTTTCATATCTTGCTCATTCTGACTATGATTCGAATTCCTTCTTTGCGACTGTCCAAACATAGTCACCCTATCCATATCTGTATCGTCTTTCATTTCGTCCCCTGGCTTGCCCCAATTACCCTTTCCTGCTCCCAGTTTCTTAACTTTGGTTGGGTCGCAATTAATTGGGCCATGATGAGTGAACCACTTAGAGTTCGACTTCGCTTCATGAACTGTCCATTTGTTAGTTCTTGTCATTTTGTATTTATTGAAAATATATTATATATAATTATGCAATTTTGATTTGTTTCGCTTCTAATACTTTAAAACTGTGTTTATTACTCCCCCTATTTATACTTTGGCATTATTTTATACTTGAGCCTTGATTTATGACCTAATGAAAAAAGTGTGGGGTGACTTATGTCCATTGATTGCGAAATTTGATTTTCTACAATAAATGGAGTCACACTATATTAGACCAAAATAATACAATCTTGGAACTTCTCTAAGCCAAATAATCTTATACAATCAATAACAATTGATTTCCCAATAGGGTCAAGTTGACCAAAATCACATTCCTTGAGGTCTGCTGTCATCATTGTGAAAATGGAAACTGGCAAGTCATTGTCAATGGCACCGGAATGGAACCATTCTAGTATCTGCCAAAGAGGGATTATACCTGGGACCACTGCTGGTAATTTGTAGACTGATTCAGATGCGGACCCAATACCATAAGATTTTTGCAAGATGGCGAGGGCATTGTTGGCATCATTGTAGATAGAATCGTTCGCGTAGATTTTCTCACTCACATCTACGAGGGACTTATTGTCGAATTCAGAGCCGAGCACGCCCATAGGATGGCCTGTATTCTCCAATTCGAGCTCGTGTGAGTATGCGGTCTCATCTGAGTCATTAGCATCACCTACGACGAAAAAGCGGCCATTTTTGATGAACTCGCCTACTGCGGGAAACGGGAAGTACACCTCATTGCATAAATCGAGGATTTCTCCGCCGAACTTCAGCTTATAGTTCATTTTGGCACAATCTTCGATGTAATAGCCTAGATAGTAGTGTCCTAGTTGCAATTCGCTGCACATTATTATCTCTCTGAGACCCGAAAGAGTTCCAAGCGATAAATGGGCGTAGTCGGGATCCCAGATGAAATAAATCGACGATACTCCTGTGGGCAAAAAATCCAATATGGAAATGGCTATCAACTTTCCGTCAAGATAGTAGCACTCATGAGTGGGTCCTACCCTATTGCTTGGGGTGTTATCTTCGGGCTGCCATTTTTTTACCCAATGGTTCAAAGTCTCCCAATCAGCCAGTGATCCCATCACCTCCTTTTCTGGGAATGGCGTATCGCATAGAAATCTCTTGAAAGACCTTTCTGTTACCTCACTTAGTTCATCATTGTGGATGTGCACTTGATATTTCTTGTACAATTCAAACTTTTCCTTTGAAAATTTAGATGGCTCATATTTGGTGTGAAATCTGGTTGATTTTTGCTCTGCCTTGACCAAAGAATGCAAATCAAAATGCTTATTTCCCTCTTTAGAATCTGATTCGTCTGATATGGCCCTTATAAACCTATTGATAGTCTTACGGTGAGCTTTGGTCACCTTTAGTTGAGTAACATCGGTTCGAATAGTGAATAATCGACAACATCCTCTTAATAAATCTGGCTTATATAAAAACGTCCCTGATCTCCTAAATCCCTGGTTTATTAATTCGTCATAATGTTGACATGTCATTTGTTCTACCTGGCACCCAATCGTAATGGACTGTGATTCTTTATCGCCATTAGTCGTCTTCTGGCTCTCGAGCGCATGATAATCCTCTTTTTTTCCGCTACAATAGCCACAATCTCTTCCAGAAATATAATGTGGTCTAGATACGACCATTGGCAAGTCTGGACCTGGTTTCATTGTTTGTTTAATGTTATCTTTAGGATGTTCTATTGCATTCAAGCCAGAGCTTTTGCCAAATACCGTTTTTTGCACCTTTGTGTAATTATTTATACAGTCTTACTGAAATGAAAAATCAACCCATATAAACTAATTCCACTTATATTCTTTTATTAACCACTCTAATTAATAGAATTCTTAATAATATAATAGCAATGAGTGGTTCTACAAAGACTTCACCGGTGAAGAAAGCAGCGAAACAAACTGGATCGAATGAAAAAGTGGAAATTGATAAAGGTGATGCAGTTAGTAATGGCAATAGTATAACGAAAGACCAAAATTCAAATGAGGCTGAAGAACCAGATCATTCAATTTTGTCTGATCCTGAAGATTATTTGGAAGAGGATGAATCGTTGGACATGAACTTGGCAAACGGGGAACAGAAAGTTTGGTTAGTTAAACTTCCTCGATATTTGGCAGAGAAGTGGTCCAATATAGATGAATTAAGCGGAGAGCAATTGGGAAGAGTTAAAATCAAACAATCAGGACGTAATGGAAACAATAGTGGAAAGTTACAGGTGAAATTGGTTCTCAATGAATCAGCAATGAATGAAGAAATACCCCATGAATACGACATATCTATGTTGAATACGCAAGTGCGTAATTCGTATGTATTCAGCGAAGAGAACTTGACTAAATTTAAGCAGGAGTTGACTGAAGTAGCCGAAATGCCAGAACAACCCTCGTTGCAACCAGTCGATAAGAAGAAAATCCAAAATAAACCACAGAAATTTTTCAGAATCCAAAAGAATAAGGAGGGCCAGGATGGTAAACCAGTCAAGAAATTTGTTCCTTACGTGAAAACAATTCCAAAGAAAACAGCATTAGCAGGTAAGGTCTGTCACGATTGTCAAATAATTCCATCCAAGAGTGATACTAAGTACTCACAAGTATCCATGAAGAGACAAAATATCCAACCAACAAAGCCGAGGCCCAAAGTTACACTATTGGATGAGATTCCTGGGGTTGTGCAATCCAATGCAGGCCCATCGATTAAGGGTAATAATACTTCAGTATTCTTGAAGTCCAATCCTGCTAAGAGTAAGAATGGTGAAGGAAGGGCTATCAGAATGCCTAAGAAGGATTTGTTAGACTTATTGTTCAGATTGTTCGAAGAATACGAATACTGGTCCATGAAGGGTTTAAAGGAAAGAACCAGACAGCCTGAATCATACTTAAAAGAGAGTTTGGACTCTATTGCTAATTTGATCAAAAAAGGACCCTACACCTCGAAATATAATTTAAAACCAGAATATAGAAGATTACGGGATGCCGAAAGAGCTGCCAGATTGGGTTTGGTTATCAATGAAGAAAACGAAGAAAAGGAGGACGAAGAAGAAGACATTGAAATGGAAGATGTTATTTAGTCATAGTAAATATTACGTTAACCTCCGTTATTAAACTTGTAAACTTTATTAAACTATAGAAAAAAAGTGACCCGATGAGCTAATACACCATTTTTAAATATACAATTATTAACTAATAAATGTTAACTTATAAGTTCTTGATTTCTAAAGCTGGTGGTAAAGATTGTTGTAATTTCTTGGCCTTAGCAGCGTCGTTGACAACTAAGGTGTATTGGTATCTAGAACCTCTAACCTTGAACTTGGTTTGCTTGATCTTCTTACCGTTAGCGTTTAAAGCTTTGTTAACCTTAACAACGGCAGACTTGATGTCTGATCTTCTAGCTAATTCAACGAATTCCTTAATGTCTTTGATTTCACGCTAGAAAAATGTTAGTATAAATTGTTCATAAATCCACATAACTAGTTATAAAGCTATTTCTTGGCCAGTCTGTAAGTGTCCGATGTCTAATATACCCCATCCACTAATACTCTTCTATAAATCATGATGGTTTATCAATAATTGTTTGCATTAAACTTGCGTGCCCTATTCTTGTGAATTTTTCACCTTTATGTCCAATTTAGATATTCATTTGCAAGTCATTTGTATCACTTTTCTAAATTCTCTTTCACTTCCAGACTGTCAACAGTATTCCATAGCTACTAGTGTTTAATCCCTATAGTACATACAGCCATCTTAATATATGTATAATGTTACTTAAAGTATATTAGCACTAACAAATATTTCAAATTTCAACTTTTTAATACACTCAAGTGAGGTCCGAAAAAAAAAAATTTCCACTTTTTAGCTGAAGGGTTTAGCCCTGTATCGCTACACGTGAAAATGTAACATCAATATGGCTGTTTAGTTTAGTATGGTCAATTTACAATACCCTAACGGCCAGGAGATTGGTATATTTGGCTCGTTGCCTCCTGTAGATGATTCGAGATAGATGCTTAGATAGCTACATGATTACAAAGTTACGAAAATATGACCTTATGGATTTAAGTCTTCTTGTAGTATTAGCTATATAGGCCACTTTCGTTCGGCGAACGAGATCAACCTCTTGATGGCCGTAATCCACCGTCTTGTCTTATCATCAAGCATAATATTCGCCGAGTTCTGCTTGTTTTCACCGGTGATTTTCAGAGCAGCACTTCTTTCGTGGATACCTACACCCTTGACACCAATGGGCCATGCCACGTTACCGATACTGAGCTTCATGTAGCTCTCGTTGGCTCGCCGGTAGTCACGCACCTGCAAGTAGTAAATTATGGTACAGAGGGATGTCAGCATCGAATCTGTGAGCTTTTGGGTGCGGAGCTTGTAGAGAAGTCTCACCAAATCCTTCTTGGTGTCCAAAAGCATCGACGACTGTCTAGCCACCGATTCTTCCTCATCCTCCCGTTCCTCGTCACCCCGTATGCTTGAAAATCCCTCCGTCTTCAGCTGTACATCGTTCTCCCATTCCTTCACCATGTACTTAACGTACATACGCACTTGCGTGTGCAACTTTTCCCTGGCATCGCTGCTGGTGATGTCTTCCAATTTTATGGTCGGGTCAGTCGCAGCCTCCTTCTCGAGCTGTATCCTGTACACCTCATTTTTCTTCTGAAGACGAAGAAGTACTTCTACCTTTCTAATTTTGTCAAGCTTGGTGCTGTCTGCGTCGCCTCTCTCATCGAACTGTTCTAGTTTAGCATCAAGCTGCTCATCTGAGATTGAGTTAATCAATGTCATTTCCTCAGGTGTGTACACCTGTTTGTCGTCCTTCTCCAGCGTATTCTTCTCACTAGTAGTAGCTCTAGGAACTGTATCTGCCTCTATAAACTTCACCTCATCCTCGGCCTTCACCTTTTTATTCTTCTTGGTTTCATCAGCTAGCTTCCTCTTTTTATCAATTTCCTTCGATAATAAGCTTGAAAAATCCATCTACCATGTCAATACCAGACTATAATTTCCAATTTACCTATTTAAGGATGTAGCTGTGATTTTCAAATGGATCTATTGTGAGTGTTTGGGCCAATTTGAATGTGATTGCGATTGACAGAAAAAACCCACTTCCAGAAACCAATTTATTCTTTCTATGGAAACTTAGCTTATTAACCGACAAATCAAGTAAGAAACAATTCAATTGGTGCTAGCATTGGTATTAAATTGAGTATATTGAATTCAAAAAAAATTGTATAATGTCTGGCAAGCAAAGCAATCATAATGGAGAAAATTTAGGGAATAAGTCTCCAGGATCAAAGGTGCACAGCAGCCCCAATTCTGGGACGCTAGAAGGTAGCGGTGAATCCAAGGACAATACTGCCGAAATTAGGGCGGTATTTAGTTCTTCCAATTTGAAGGAAGATGAAGAAAGTAAATCAAGACCGCAAACATCACCGCTCTTGTCATCGACCCCACCTAGCGTTGCTAAGTCATTGGTAAGGTCGTATCCGTATTTATTGATAGTGAATAAGTTTTTATCAATCATAACATGGACTAATGATGACTACTGGATTAATATCATCCTTGTTTGTTTGTACTCGTTGGCCATATTGTATTTCGAAAATTTAGTAACATGGCTGGGGCATTTGATTATAGTAGGCATTATCACGTTGTATGCATTATTGAATAATAAGATCATTGAGGAAACAAACTTACACCCAACCTTGGATGATGTTGTCCAGGCATTGACTACTACGTGTATCAAGGCCGATATGTTGTTGAATCCTATCACGTCCTTGTCCTTAACTGCCTACGATATCAAAAGACTCCTTTTCACGACGGTTTTCTTGACTCCGCTTTATCTTATCGTGACGTTTTTACTTGTCAAGCCTAGAATCATATTGTTATTCACTGGGCTCCACATTCTTACGTACCACTCTTCGTACTCGAGAGTGACCCGTAAAATGTTGTGGAAAATCAAGTTGGTCAGAGTGTTATGTTTCTACTTGACTGGATTGGATTTCCTGCAAGCTAGAAACCATTCCTTGTTTGCTGCTGCCTTTGCTAAAGTTCACAAAAATGCTGGACATTCTTTAGATTTGAGTAGTGAAGCTTCAAACAAGCCGGTGAGATTTACATACGTGATTTACGAGAACCAAAGACGTTGGTTGGGTATTGGTTGGACATCGAATTTATTGTCTTATGAAAGAACCCCATGGACCGATGAATTTTTGAATGAATCTTCGTCTATCGAAAGTTTCCAACTTCCAAATAACGAAAACAATGACTATTCATTTGGGGCTCAACAATCTCAACAATTATCTGGAAGTAATACTACCTGGAGATGGGTTGATAAGACGTGGAGATTGGACTTAACTAATGATGGTGCCATCACCTTACAGAATAATAAGAGATCTAAGACTACTGCCAACCCAGCCACTGATGAGGGTTATATCTATTACGATAATACTTGGAAGAAGCCATCGACAGAAGATTCATTTTCCAAGTACACTAGAAGAAGAAGATGGATTAGAACTGCTGAATTAGTATTCAATGGCTCATCCGATAAGACACCTTCGACCGAGGAAGAAATTTCATCTAACACTGCAAGTATTCCTGGGTCGTCCAATTCAACCACAGGAGCTGAAACCGGTAATTCCACAAAGTCTGCTAAAAAAAGAAAGAGCTTAAGATTTGTTGATCCTGAATCTGATACAACAGATGAGAAGACCGATAGACCAGAATCTCTCTCTCAAGTTGAAAAAGAATTGGCGGCCGAAGATCAAGACACAAAAGATTTGAAAAAGGGAGTAGAAGAGCTTACTTCAATGGCTCAAGAAACCGATTTCGCGGGCAAGAAGAATGATTGAGTGTAAATAGCTTTTTGTCACCAGGTTTTAGATTGGTGCATTTACAACGATTTTTGAGGTTATAGTTTATAGTATACCTCTTTCTATACGTATATTTAATGCTCGTTTGTTATTTATTTTTAAATATTAAGTCAGTCTGTATAAGTACCCGGGTAGATCTTCTCTCACATACATGCACTGTTTGAAAATGCAAATTGTATATTTTCTATATTTTTGTTACTATCATCAAAATCTTGTAAAAACAGACAAGACTTAAAATTTTTTAAAACTTTTTTAAAATTCTGATTAAAGACAATCGAATGACAATAGCATATAAAAAACATCGGATAATAGCAATAAGGTTAGAGCCGTTAGTGAAACAAAATAAACTAAAAAATGAAACTTTGCAATTTTCGGTGTTCTCCGAGATCAAAATATGATAAGATCGTGAATATGGTGATAAGATAGTATAAAAGAGAGGAAACAATTCCACTTTTTTATTCTTTTTTCTTTACCATTATACTATAAATATTATGCAATCAGAATTGTTAGACTCTTCATATGGTAAAGGGAATGTTAAATTCCTTAAAGTTAAAAAGAACCCCCATAATTCTAAAGAACAAGACATATTGGAAGCAAATGTGCAAGTGTTATTGAAGGGTAATTTTGATGTTTCATATACTAAAGCCGATAATTCCCCTATTGTTCCAACAGACACCGTTAAGAACACTATATTAATCGAAGCCAAAACCACTAATGTGTGGCCGATTGAAAGATTTGCGGCCCATTTGGCAAAACATTTCACTGAGAAATATGCCCATGTTTCTGCGATCGAGGTAAGCATAGTTCAGAGCAAGTGGACCAAATACGAAGTGGATGGAAAGCTCCATCCACATTCATTTAAACATGAAGGTCCGGAAACGAGAAGAACGTTCCTTACTTATTCTAAGCAGGATAAAAAGTTGACAATTACCTCTTCGATTAAAGACTTGACTGTTTTAAAATCCACTGGTTCAATGTTCTACGGTTATAACGTTTGTGATTACACTACATTGAAACCTACCAAAGACAGGGTTTTATCTACTGATGTAGATGCATCTTGGACGTATGATCGAAAACAAGTTACATCTTTGGACCAGGTATTTACCCAAGCTGATAAGGGCTTATTTGATTCTACTTATGATAATGCCAGAAAAGTCACATTAGACTTGTTTGCCTTGGAAAATTCTGCATCTGTGCAAGCTACTATGTACAATATGTCTCATAAGATCTTAGAATTGGTTCCTGAAGTTGAAACCGTTAGTTATGCCTTGCCTAATAAGCACTATATATTATTCAACTTGGAATGGAAGGGTATCAAACAAAATGATGAATTATTTTATCCTTCGCCAGATCCAAATGGTCTTATAAAGAGTACAGTTGGTAGAAAGGTTCAATCCAAGTTATAGTCCTATATACGATTTATATACGTAATATTTCAGCCATAAAGATAATACATATTTCTTTTAGCGGTGTACTGCGCAGAAAAGACAACACAATTTTTTTTAATAACTACAAAAATTTTCAGTTGCAAAAGGATCATCTGTTTTCTCTAGTATATTAAGTTAATATGTCTTGTCATTCCAAAGTGTGGATGCTAGTAGTTGCAACTGCGTTGGTTACTACAGGAGTCGTGGAAGGATTTCATAGATATATGGACTCTCGTGATAACGTAAAATCATCTC